TACCTAACTGGAATCAAAGTGACCTAAAAAGGAATATAGCCTATTAATCTATTAGAAAAAAAACAAATGCATGGTTTTCTGTTAAACTGTAAGTTGAAGTGAGGCAAATAAGATGTTTAAAAAATTCTAAAACACCAACTTTACCTCTTCTTTTCTGACAGACACTAACTATTCAACTGACTGACAAGATTATCAGTCTGGAAAAGTTAAGTCAAGTTTTCTGGGTTCATGGTGGTCCTGTAGTTTCTACTCCAACTGTGACCAGTACCTTCCCAACAAGTTACCATCCTTCTCCATCTACTACTCAGGAAACCAGTACTGAGACTGTCACTAGTTCTGCCAGTGCAAGTACTATTGCTATCAGTAGTGCTAGTCTTCCCATCACAACTGCTCCTGCCCCAACAAGTTCTACTGACATTACAAATAGTACTACCCTTTCTAGTACAGCTGTACCTTTCCCTGTAAACACTACTAATGTGACTCTTCCTATCACACCAGCACCTTCTCTTACGAGTACTGCAGATGCTAACACTAGTACTACAGTTCCTAGTACAACTATGCCTTTCCCTGTAAACGCTACTAATGCTACTCTTCCTATCACAACACCACCTTCTCTTGCAGGTACGGCTGATGCTAACACTAGTACTACAGTTCCTAGTACAACTATGCCTTTCCCTGCAAACGCTACTAATGCTACTCTTCCTGTCACACCAGCACCTTCTCTTATGAGTACTGCTGATGCTAACACTAGTACTACAGTTCCTAGTACAACTATGCCTTTCCCTGTAAACGCTACTAATGCTACTCTTCCTATCACAACACCACCTTCTACAAATACTGCTGATGCTAAAAATAGCATTACTGTTCCTAGTACAACTATGCCTTTCCCTGTAAACGCTACTAATGTGACTCTTCCTGTAACACCAGCACCTTCTCTTATGAGTACTGCTGATGCTAACAATAGTACTACTGTTCCTAGTACAACTATGCCTTTCCCTGTAAACGCTACTAATGTGACTCTTCCTGTAACACCAGCACCTTCTCTTATGAGTACTGCTGATGCTAACAATAGTACTACTGTTCCTAGTACAACTATGCCTTTCCCTGTAAACGCTACTAATGTGACTCTTCCTGTAACACCAGCACCTTCTCTTATGAGTACTGCTGATGCTAACAATAGTACTACTGTTCCTAGTACAACTATGCCTTTCCCTGTAAACGCTACTAATGTGACTCTTCCTGTAACACCAGCACCTTCTCTTATGAGTACTGCTGATGCTAACAATAGTACTACTGTTCCTAGTACAACTATGCCTTTCCCTGTAAACGCTACTAATGTGACTCTTCCTGTAACACCAGCACCTTCTCTTATGAGTACTGCTGATGCTAACAATAGTACTACTGTTCCTAGTACAACTATGCCTTTCCCTGTAAACGCTACTAATGTGACTCTTCCTGTAACACCAGCACCTTCTCTTATGAGTACTGCTGATGCTAACAATAGTACTACTGTTCCTAGTACAACTATGCCTTTCCCTGTAAACGCTACTAATGTGACTCTTCCTGTAACACCAGCACCTTCTCTTATGAGTACTGCTGATGCTAACAATAGTACTACTGTTCCTAGTACAACTATGCCTTTCCCTGTAAACGCTACTAATGTGACTCTTCCTGTAACACCAGCACCTTCTCTTATGAGTACTGCTGATGCTAACAATAGTACTACTGTTCCTAGTACAACTATGCCTTTCCCTGTAAACGCTACTAATGTGACTCTTCCTGTAACACCAGCACCTTCTCTTATGAGTACTGCTGATGCTAACAATAGTACTACTGTTCCTAGTACAACTATGCCTTTCCCTGTAAACGCTACTAATGTGACTCTTCCTGTAACACCAGCACCTTCTCTTATGAGTACTGCTGATGCTAACAATAGTACTACTGTTCCTAGTACAACTATGCCTTTCCCTGTAAACGCTACTAATGTGACTCTTCCTGTAACACCAGCACCTTCTCTTATGAGTACTGCTGATGCTAACAATAGTACTACTGTTCCTAGTACAACTATGCCTTTCCCTGTAAACGCTACTAATGTGACTCTTCCTGTAACACCAGCACCTTCTCTTATGAGTACTGCTGATGCTAACAATAGTACTACTGTTCCTAGTACAACTATGCCTTTCCCTGTAAACGCTACTAATGTGACTCTTCCTGTAACACCAGCACCTTCTCTTATGAGTACTGCTGATGCTAACAATAGTACTACTGTTCCTAGTACAACTATGCCTTTCCCTGTAAACGCTACTAATGTGACTCTTCCTGTAACACCAGCACCTTCTCTTATGAGTACTGCTGATGCTAACACTAGTACTACAGTTCCTAGTACAACTATGCCTTTCCCTGTAAATACTACTAATGCTACTCTTCCTATCACACCAGCACCTTCTACAAGTACTGCTGATGCTAAAAATAGCACTACAGTTCCTAGTACAGCTATGCCTTTTCCTGTAAATACTACTAATGCTACTCTTCTTATCACAATACCACCTTCTCTTACTAGTACTGCTGATGCTAACACTAGTACTACTGTTTCTAGTACAACTATGCCTTTCCCTGTAAATACTACTAATGTGAAGTATGCATAAAGCAAATGTACTTCACACGGCCTGGTTTTCCAAAGCCTTGAAGTTTCAAATATTGATCTTGCAAAGGGCAGGGAAAATTTTCCCAGTCTCTTTTGTAAGGTAAAAAATTGTAACACAGCAAGGTTGCTGGCTCAAAGACAGACATGTTGCTGATTGATATGTAAAGATACTAGGAAATTACTGTAAGAAGAGAATGTTTGCTAAAATCAAGCTTTTGTTGGTGGATTGACTTAATTGCACTATAGAATGTCATCTTACTGAATGTTACAGCTTCTATTGTTAAACTTGTTAAACTATACTTAGAAAACCCCCCACCTATGTTCTCTTCCTGGAACTTCCTGGTCTGGAGAATAAATGCAGGAAGAGAACCCCGATTTGTGGTTAATTTCCCAAATGGAAGGAGTGCCTCTATCTTGAGGGTTCCAGGAGATTAACCCCTTTTCAGGGCTTCTCACTGCTCAGAAGAGATGGGCTTTGAGTAATCTTTGGCAGCTCTGTCACCCAGGGGAAAAAGGGTGACAAGTCTGTGGGCGTCAAAGCAACAACTAATGCTACTCTTCCTATTACAACACCACCTTCTCTTACAAGTACTGCTGATGCTAACACTAGTACTACTGTTTCTAGTACAGCTGTGCCTTTCCCTGTAAATACTACTAATGCTACTCTTCCTATCACACCAGCACCTTCTACAAGTAGTGCTGATGCTAACACTAGTACTACAGTTCCTAGTACAGCTATGCCTTCTCCTGCAAGTACTATCACTGCTAGCATTATTGCTATGGTTCCTGTTACAACTCTCCCTTTCCTGGAAAGTACTGCTGATGCTAGTACCACTGTGATTATTAGCACTACTCCTTCCCTAGAAAGTACTACAGATGTTAGCACAAGTGCTACTATTCCTAATATAACTACTCCTTGCCCTACACATACTACAAATGACAGCACTAGTACTAAGGTTTCTATTTTAACCACTTTATCCCATACAAGTACTGATGATGCTAGTCTTAATACTAGTGTTCAAATTACAGCTACTCCTTCTCTTACAAGTACTCATGCTGATACTGCTAGCAATAGTTTTCCTAATATGACTACTTCTTTCTCTGAAAGTACTAATGCTAGGAACACTATAGTTGTTATGGTAACTACTTCTCCTATAGGTGCTGATACTCCCAGCACTAGTAATGATGCTTCTACTTCAGATCTTTCCCGTACAATGCCTAGTGGTGACAGCACTACCAATACTATTTCTCTACTGACTACTTCTTCTCCTACAAATACTCTTACTGCTAGCACTACTAATACTCTTTCTGTTATGACTAATCCTTTTTCTACAATCATGAGTGTTACCAGCACTGGTAATATTGTTCCTATCATGACTACTCCTTCTTGTCCAAGTACTGATGCTATTGGTACAAGTAATACTATTCCTGTCTTGACTACTTATTATGAAACATCTCCCACCACTTCTACCTCTGCTCTTGCTTCTACTCCTAACTCTACTACGCCTATTTTGAGCATGTTTCCGACAAATGATACACTCACTACTGATTTAATTACTAATTTTACTACCCCTGCAGATGTTAAAACTGTCACCACAGACATCGTATAGTTCACTACTCCTCATTCCGCTACTACTACAACACTAACCACAAGCCACACAATATTAATTTCCACAAATTTTCCTAATCCAGGCACCATTGACACTACTGCTGCAAGCACTACAGCCACTGCTATGGAGTCAGTGACTACAAATATTATAAATATTACCACTACAGGAAACACAAATACAACTGCAGAAGTCACCACAACTGCTATGATTACAAATGCTACTTCTGTGGAAACTCACTCAGGTCATTTCACCTCTACCTGCTATAGGCATCCCTGGTGCTACCACCATGGATAAGGCATCTCCAACTGCACTTACCAGAAGCATCACCAGTACTTATCCTCCAGATACCCCTACTCATGCTTTAAATTCCACTTCCGCAGGCACTGGAAATACTGCTACACCAAACATCACCAGTGAAAATGTTACCAGTATAATACCAGGTGTTACAGATATAACAGGTACGCCTACTAAAGACAGCCCAATTACTGTTAGCACCACAGCTATTCCTATTGTGGATATGTTTTCTACTACTCCATACACAATAATTACTAGTACTCAAGACTTTGCTACTTCCTCACAAGTAAACACTACAAACTTTATATCTACTACTAAAGCTACTGGAAATGCCATTACAGCATATACTACCACCATAGCTACCCATATTTTCAACACAGAAACTGCAAATTCAATTACTTCTTCTGATGCAATCCTTACAAACACTTATATTCCAAGAACCACAGCTATTCCAACCACCGATACTATAAACATTATAGGGCATGCAGTAAATATTACTGACGCAGATAACTCCAGCAGCATTACAAGTAACTCTACAGACATTTCTATCCCAAATATCACAACAGCCTCAGACGCAATAACAACTGCTGTTCTAGATACAGAAACTCAACATCTTACAACAACAAATTCTATGGCCAGTTATTTCCCTATTACTGCAACTAGTGCTACCACAGACATTACAAATTTTACCACACATGCTTTAAATACTACCACTCCTGATAGAACAATAATGGATTCTTCTGCTACTGCATCTACTTATATTGAAAAATGCCATAAATGCTACTCTAGTTCAATGATTGCTGCTCAAGGCAGGATAATTTCTACAGATAACTCTTTAAAACAACTATTGCAGATACAGAAATCAGTTCACAGGATACACAATCTTATGCTACCTAAGTTTTCACACATATTAACACTCTAGACTTAACAGATATGGCTACTCCAAGCCTGTAGATATTGCAGATTATGTTTATGGATGCATCCATTACAGACTTTGTAAGTTTCATCAAAGAAGCTGTGGATACCTATTTTGTAGCCACAATATGTTGTACTACTCTTTTTTATTATAGTTATTATTCATTTAGCCTCATCAATTAAACTATGCATATTTTATATATTCTTGCTACAGACTTCACAGGTAATTTTGGTATCTCAGATAACGCCATGTTAGGGCTCTGTAAATACTATTGCTTTAGGTGTAGTTACTGAAATAGCCCAACTTATTTCCTGGATTATAGGATATAATACCATAACTGAGAGCACTGTTGATACTCCTGGCACTCAAATAACCTCTACAACAGCAGTTATTAATATCACTTGATTATTTAATTAGCAATGCTAAAATCATACTTTATTTTTCTATGGACTTTTCCAAACACCATGGCTACCAATGCAGTAATTTGGTATTACACAGATTAGAAGTATTATTGCTTCTGATGAGATCCTAACTGTAGCTACAGAAATGGAAAATACAAAATCGTAGATTTTGTATATACCTTGACTTTAGGCACTGAAGTAGTTAAATTAGAAATATTACATGTTACTTTTATTATCATAAAAATAAAAAAATATGATTACAGATGTGAAAAACATAAGTTCCCAAACATTGCAACCATTGCTGCCATAGGTACTACCAATACTCTTACCAAAGATTTGATAAGTACTTCTATTTATAGACACTAAAGTATTTCCAGAAAACAAGAATTAATCTTAATTATGAAATAGTCTTAGGCCACTGCTGTTACCACCAATGACTGGCTCTGACTCTCCTATAAACCAGGAATCATTGAGACAGAGATAAGAATGTTAAGATATGGCACAGGGGAGACAGTCTTTGCCCTGACATTAGAGTTCATAACGTTTTTATCTACCAGCTTTTTAACTATTATTTTACTGTCCAGACTCTCCTTCAGTGCGTTAAGGTTTTCAGTATGTTTTTGGTCTTTCATATCCAAATTCACCATTTATGCTTGACCTATTACTTTCTTAAATCACCCAAACCATTGTCAATAGATTCATGGTCATAATCAAATCTAGCTAGTTGGGTGCTATTGAAAGTTTAACCCTAGGCTGGTATTCTCAAAGTGTAGTTCAGGGACCTATGGGGGGCCCCGGGACTCTTTCTGGTATACACAAGTCAAGTCTATTTTCATAATAATTCTAAGTTGTTATTTGCCTTTTTCACTCTCATTTTCTCATTAGTACACAGCGGCATTTTTCAGAGACTCTATGTAGTGTGGTTTCACAGTACTCGTGGATGAATATAGAAATGGAAATAAGAATCTAGCTGTCTCCTATTAAGCCAGACGTTGAACATATTTAAAGAATGTAAAATAATGCCATTCTTCTCACTTTTCTTTTTTGCTTTGAAAAATATGGTTATTTTTCATAAAAATACATTATTTATGATAACATGTAGTAGATATGTTGTTATTTTTAATGAATAAACGAATATTACAAATGATTCAGTTGTAATTTCGAATGCAATAAATATTAGCAGATATATACAAAGTCTGGTGTCCTCACTGATTTTGAATGTAAAAGGGTCCTGACACTAAAGAACTTGAGAACCATGTTGCTAGGGCAACAATATCCCATTTCCACTCTTAGGTCCCGGTCAAGTATATTACAAACATCTGCAGCACGTAGGAACTCCTGCATCTGTGATTTACTTCATGTGAGTATAAACCACCGTCTACGAACACATCTGCCCATTTCTCTGACCTGCCACCACAGCTGTACTATAGTCTGGATGATGTGGGAGACCCAGTGCATTTGTTGTGTTGGCACAACAAACTCTGATATAGGACAAAATGCTCTGTGTCCTAAAATACCATGGGATCCTGCTTCTAGCCCATGATGCCAAGGCTGATTTGTTGGCCAAAGGCTTCACTTGATACACCTGAGGTTTGAAACACTAAGGGTAAATTTGCTCCAACAAACATAGTTCTGAAGTTACATAAATCCAACCCCTTTGTGCATATAAATGGACCATGCTTGAAATTATGGAATTTTGTAAAGGTAAAAAGTACTCTTAAAAACAAAACAATACAAACAAACAAAAATCTGGACTGAGGTCAGATGTTTGAAGAAACTTGAAAATTAAAAGTTGAGAGTCAATGCACAAGGAGTGGTCCTGCAACCAGGTTCAGAAAATTCAAGGGTGAATATTACCACTGGCAACACTGGCAGAATTTATGCATGGACCTTGGCTTATAAGGTCTAGGGAAACCCCCATACCCCATAATTATTTGGACCCCACTGGACCACTTACATATGATTTAATTCTGTGCTAAAGAATACAACTCATGTTCTAAATATAAATACATTTACTTTGCTATACTTTTGATAATAGACATTTCTACTCACACCACTACCACTGGGCATCATTAGTATTACACCTGGCATTTCTAGTTGTTAATTCCAATTTCATTTTGTAGTATTCTAAGCATCACTATGCAAACACTATTCATGGCCACTATGTAAGAGTTATTACAAATAGTATATGATTAGTTTTCTAATTAGAGTTACAGATGATGATGTTTTGAATTAACCAGAAACTTGCTTGAGACTAGAGGTACCTAGAAATGCTTTGAAGAGTATAGGAATCTGGATATGACCTGTAGCATGAAAAAGAGTCAGAGAAAGCATTTCAGATGGGTCATGGGTTGGACAAAGAGGGACTTCACATAGTGTGATTAGGAGATACAAAATAGGCCACTCTCTATAGCAGGGACATTGTGAGGGGAGAAAAGATTTAAGACCTACCAATTTCCTTCACCAAACTTCAGCATATATAAAATTGGATATGCAAATGGCAGTTGGAAGAGTATTTATTCAAGCAGAAAAACTTATAGATCTAGGGAATGCTTTGTATTTCATATCCCATTCCCCATGGGGGAGCAGAGGCGTGCTCTGCATGAAGGGTACTGCAGAGGAAATGTTCATGGAGATCGAGAGTGTGTATAGAAGCAGGGACCGGCATCTCCCTCCCAACTAGACACTTGCTGAACTGCAGAAACTCTTGGCCCCGACAAGTGGTGGAAAGTGGCTGGGCTGAAGCTGTTGTGAAGATGCCTGTCCAAGGGACAAGGCGACCCTAGTGACAAGAAGTTGTGGGATGGACCACCAAAAGTAGAAACCAAGTTTGCAGGAGGAAGAGATCAAAATAGGTCATGCAGACTGCATCTCATCCCATGTTAGATGCTGCACAAAGGACTTCTGAAAACTTCACTAATGTGCCCATGAGAAAAAACCAGAACTGGGGGCCTGTCACACCGAGGGTACCAATGGAGGCCTTGCCATAGCATCACTCACATGAGACACCTTGGCCTTTTCCTCTAATTCCCATCTGGCCATGAAGGAGACCTGGAAATGGCCAAGAAAGAGGAGAAGAAGGCAGAAGAATGAAAGCACAGACCACACTCCCCTTCCACACTGCTGGGGGAGGCCACTGAGGGCAGGAGAAAACTCCTTGTGGATGTGAGAATACAGCACTGATTTAGACTATGCCAACTCTTGAAAATGTCCAATGACTAGGACGTGATGGGGTCTGTTGAGATATTGGGTAAAAAAAAGATTTCAATTCAGCATGAAAGGAGCAGAAGGGATGAAGACTCAGAAAAAAATAAAAAGCCAGAGAATGCTGAAAAGACCTAGCATTACCTCACTTCACCTTGCTCTGACCCTGTTAGAATGCTGGAGGGTGAACACTTGCACTTAACGTTATAATACTTTATATTACTCATTTCAGAGAAAAACTAAGAATCAATTGGGGCAAAAATGTTAGATCTGGGCCCCACAGGAAGTTAGAGGTTTCCTCAGCCTCAGCCAATGTCTGATGGCTATAGAGAAGGTGGCTTTGGCAATTCTTTATTATGTCATTAAAAAAGGTTTGGCTCAAGATAAGAACTAAAAGGGTCTGTATGATGTATGGATATTGCTACCTTACAGCCCCTTATATTCGCATCATAACTGTACTTTGCAAAGGGATTATCATAAATGTTAATTTTGTTCCACTCCTGCTGTGAGGTAGGGAAAGAAGGAATTTTTACACTCCTATTTCAGAGCGGGAAAGAAGACACAGGAAGGTTGAGAGACTTCCTCAAGGCAAAAGAGTGTTTAAAAATGTGGTGGAGCCTGGCCTTCTGATTCCAATTCCTATAACCTGTCTATTTAAGCGTACCAGTACCTGAGGAAAGTCAATCTTTGACATAGTGGAATGGGAAAAATAAAATGAAATAAACAAACAAAACTTCATCTACTTTAGAACAAGAGGAAGCCTGGATTGGAATCTTGATTTTACTCCTATCTACTTATGTGACCAGAGCAACTTTCTTGATTTCTCCGAGCCTTCGTTCCTTCATTGGTAAGTTGGAAGAATTAAGAGAACTCCTTGGAAAATACCTAGAATAGCAGGAACCCATAATTTGATACTGTTTCCTGTATACCAAAACATCATATCATACACTTTGAACACATACAATTTTTGTCAATTACACCTCTATAAAGCTGAAAAAAAAAAAGCTGACTACTTTTTTCGCTACAGTTAACATGTCAAAAAGATGCCTCTGGGTCCTTTCCCCCAAATTAGTCCCTTTTGAATAATAATAATAATAACAATAAACTAACAATTAATAGATAAGATTTGTAGAGGTTGCCAATGTGTTAAGGACTTTGCCTGGAACTGATTAAAGACACCCCTTTCCCTGGTGCCTTTTTTCCTTACCCTTTTTTCCCTGGGCTTGGAGTAGCTGGGTTGAACTATGGAGTCAGCCAGAAGCAACAGTGAGTGGACTCCAGATGCCCACCCCACCCTAGAGGCAGAGCCCAGGAGAAACTGCATGTGCAGTAAATAGAAGGTGTACGTAGAGTGGTTATGTCATGTGCCTCCATGTGAGAGCAAGGCCTAATGGGGATTATGGCCCTCATATGCTATTTTCTCCTGCCTTTAATTTAATAACCTCTACAAATACAAGTGCATCAATATATTTATTATTCATTTTGTATTTTCTTTTACTTGTTAGTAATGCTCAGGCAGTTTTTGAAGAGGGAGGTTCATATTTATTGACCTCAAATTATACTACAAAACTATAGTAAACAAAACAGCATGGCACTAGCATAAAAACAGACACAGGGACCAATGGAACAGAACAAAGAACCCAGAAATCAACCCAGTACTTACAGCGAACTAATCTTTGACAAAGGTGCCAAGAACATACATTGGTGAAAAGACTGTCTCTTCAGAAAATCGTGCTAGAAAAACTGGATATCCATGTGGAGAAGAATGAATCTAGACCTATACCTCTCGCCATATAGCAAAATCAACTCAAAATGGGCTAAAGACATAAGTATAAGGAATGAAACTATAAAGCTCCTAGAAGAAAACATAGGGGAAACACTTCAAGATGTAAAACTGGGCAAAGACTTTATGAATAAGACTCCAAAAGCACTAGCAACAAAAGAAAAAATAAACAAATGGGATTATATCAAACTAAAAAACTTCTGCACAGCAAAAGAAACAATCAACAGAGTGAAAAGATGACCTACTGAATGGAAGAAAATATTGACAAACCACACATCTAACAAGGGATTAATAACCAGAATATATAAGAAACTCAAACAACTTCACAGTAAAAAAACAAAACAAAACAAACAAAAAAAACAATTAAAAATGGGCAGAGGAGCTGAACAGACATTTTTCAAAGGGAGACATACAAATGGCCAACAGGTCCATAAAAAATGCTCAACCTCACTAGTCATCAGGGAAATGCACTATCTGGTTTAGGAGGGGGCTTTGTTTCCTGACCAAGAATAATAAAGATAATGTCTTTCTCCAGGGCAAGGACTGGGTGGATTGCTAGAAGCCCTTTTAAAAGCTTGGGATTTCTGGCCGGCCCGGTGGCACACTGCGCTAGTGCACTGTTTGGGAAGCGCGGCGGCGCTCCCGCCGAGGGTTCGGATCCCACATACAGACCGTGAGGACCTGAAGGGATGGTAGTGCCATTTATTTAGATGTTGGGAGATAATTCTCCGTGTATCTCTCATGTTTCTGTACATCTTTTGAGCAAGAGGCTGTGCCAGCTTTATTTATGACTATCTTTTCAAGCCTGAAAGATAAAGTGTCACTATCTGGTTTAAGAGGGGGCTTTGTTTCCTGACCAAGAATAATAAAGATAATGTCTTTCTCCAGAGCAAGGACTGGGCAGATTGCTAGAAGCCCTTTTAAAAGGTTGGGGTTTCTAAACTCAGTGTTCCTCTGCTGTGACACAAACCCACATCCACTTGGGCCATGTCTGTCTCACCCCCCATGGGACTTGAGGGCAAAGGGAACTGATATGCACAAGAAGCTCATGCTGCCTGCTGTGCCTTGAGTCATGAGTCCTTTGTCTCTGACTCAGGGGCCCCAGGTCTTTTGCTGGCATTTATGAAACTGTGGCAGGCTAACTTGTTACTGGGAAGTAGGGTAAAATCTCAGACCCTTTGCAGTTCTTAATAGGGTACAACTTGGGTGATGGTGAACTTGGGGGTGGAGATAAAGAGTTTACTTATGGCTGTTTTAAATTTGATATGATATTTAGACACCTAGGAGTAGATATTAGATAACTTGATGTATGACATATAGCTCAGGGCAGGGGAATTCTGGTTGAAGTTAAATTTGGGATTTAGTATTTGAACCGTTGGACTAGATTATATTAATTTGGGAGAGAATATACATGAAACTACACACACACACACACACACACACACACACGCACAGAGAGTGAGACTAGAGCTAGAGCCCTGGAACACTCCAACATTTAGAGATCTAGGAGAGGAAGAGAGACCATAAAAGAAGACAGATATTGAGAAGCTTGCAGTGAGGTAGGAAGAAAACTGGTGTGAGTGCTGGGTGACTGTGGTGTACCGGGAGGCGAGAAGCAAAGTGTTTCAAGAAAGGGGAAGGGGCCGACTGTGTCAAATCTACTGAAAGATTGGGTATTTTATAGAAGCAAAATCATTGTTAAAGAGGAGATGGGATCCAGGTCAAATTGGGGAAGCTTGCCTTTGAAGCAGAAGAATTCTTCCCATTGCAGTAGGAGAGAGAGAAAAACATGTGACTCCAATTGCTGGTAGGTTAGTGAAATTGGTGGGGGTATGATGAGGCACATCACATTGTTTAATGATCTATTGTTTCTATGAAGTATAAGATGAGGCCATCAGCTGTGAATCAGGGGTATAGGGAGGAGTTGTTGGGAGCTTGAGGAAGAAGATGAAATCGCCACCCTGGAGAGCAAACACACTAAAGAACAAGGAGCTTCTTACCCTAGGACTGATGTCTGTGTTGTAAGCCAGTTTGACCTAAGCGCATATGAGTGCAGTTTGTTCTGCAACGGTCAGCTACGTGGGTGCAGCTGGGAAAAGAAAGCAGGTAGAAAATTTGACCAGTACTGAGATATTGCTATGCAAATATGGCAGACAGAGAGAGGGTTAAGAAAGGTAAGGGTGTAAGGAAGTGCTCGTAGCTCTGGTACATGGACCCTGGTTTGGGAAATGAGAGAAGTAAAGGCAGTAACAGTGTGAGGTTAAGAAACTGGGAAGCCAGTGTGCTGGGCAGATCCACTCGGTGAATGTTAATATCTCCAAGAAAGACACCAGAGGAGTGGTGGGTCATAAACAGCTGCTTGTAGTTATTAGTGATGGGGTGGGGGGTGACTTGGAGAGGCTGTCAGATGATGGTAACAAGCAGCCATGAAGGGTAATAAAGTTCTTAGTACCAGCTTTTCAAAGGGGCTGGGGTTTGAGAGAGAAAGGAAGACAGTTCGAAAGGGGAGCAGGGAGGGAATTAACCCATCCCCAGTTAGTGCAAGGAGGTGGTAGGAACTTTCAGAGTCATTCTTGAGAGTTTGTTGGTCTGAAGGTCTTCGTGGAAAGGTTTCATATTTGAGAGAACAGTGCAAGAGGGGCTCAGGCTGGAGCTGTGCAGAGCAGTCTGTGGACAGTGTGTTATGCTGAAGACTGTACTGTGACAGATGGTGACTTAGTGAATGGGGTTGTGTGGCAAGATGGGATTGGACCTGTAGTGGGAGAGCAAACCCCAAGTCCCATGGCTGAAGGGGTTTCCTAGATGTCACTGGCAATGGAAAACCTCAGAAAAGTTGATCTCAGCCCAGACAGGGCTGACTCATTTGAGCAAGAGATGCTAAAAGATCTCCAGGAAATTGCATTCACCCAAGCTAGAAGTCCTACCATATGATAATTACAAGAGCAATGGAAGATAGTTTAATTTCATACTAGATTGGAGATTATATTTTTTCTCCTGGCAAATAATAATTGATGATTTAACAATTCCTGTGACTTTTATGAAAATATATATTTCTAATTTCAGCTTGAGAAAAAATTTAGTCTTTTATTGGACTACTTAAATAGACAATTAATTAGAGATAAATTGATAATATGGCGGTAACACAAATTTATTCCCAATATATGCCTAGATAATAGTACACCAGAGTAGGAACAGACTTTTAGGGACTATGTAGTTAAAAACCTCAACCTCATAGAACAGCTTTCTGTATACTGTATCTTTCCCATCTCATTAGCATTTGATCAAATACTTCCTTAAAATGTGTCCTATGAATTGCTAGGCAGTATTAATGTTGTGGAATGGACTCAGCAAGAAAGGCTCCAGACACTTGGGAGGTTGGAGAGTTAGAAGGTTTATTACACACGGGACCCAGATGAACTCTCGTTCTGAAATCCTGGGACCCTAAACATGCGTTTGACAGGGTTTTTATAGGCCATAAGCTTATATCTTAGACAAACAGCTGTTGGTTTTAGTTTCTTCTCACCCACTTGATTTAGGCAAACAGGCAAAATTAGAAAGGCAAGGGGGGCAGGCTAGCTAGATTACAGAAGCAGAAATGCCTGCAGGCAGTTAATTATTAGCTTGGCTGAGTTCTGGGGGCCCTGGGAGATACGCACATTTAGTTACAGAGGCATTTTACAAGTTAGTCAGAATTTAATTTTGAACTTTCTCTACATTAATTTTAAAAACATTTTTCTTGGTACTGAGATAAAATTGGGCTCTTCTGAGGTTTACTCATAAGCTTTAATCTTCCCTCTTAAACCATCTCTCTGATAGTCTTCCTAATTTTACTTGATGGCTATATTCTCCTACTTATCAACCAGATTAAAGCTCCACATTTCTCTGAAACATTCCTCTCATGACCTGCAGCTAACAAACAAACAAACGAAACAATTTAAATAGGCTATTGTTTAAATTGTTGCTATCTTGTGGCTATTGAATAATTGTCTGTACAATCCTATTTAATGTTTTGCAGCCCTAAGACATACATGTTCTTACTTACTTATTAGCCTGACAGCTAAAATGAATCCAAGGGTTTAGGGGTATACTACAACTTGGAAACTGAAAGCTCCCTGCTTAAAGTAAAAGTTGGTCAAAAACTCTTTCTTGGAAAAACACTTTTCTAAATTGATTTTTGTTCTAGATTACACCTTGTCTGTCTTGTTTTTGTTTTTCATATCTTCTCTATTTACTCATACTGTCTTTGTGTAGATCCTGTATTGGTTTCTTTGTTTGAATGAACCTTTTTAAAATTTTTATATAAGCTCAAACTTAGGAAAAAATTTCAAGAATAGTATAAAGAATTGCAGTATATTCTTCACCCATATTTCCCAATTATTATCCATAAATTATGAATATTCGTATTTACTTTACCATTCTCTATTCTCACTCTCTCTTGTCCTTTTCCTTTCCCCACCTCTCCCTCTCTCTCTCACAAACACATTTGAGAGTTTGTAGACAGTTTGTCTCATCACAATATACCTTAGCATGTATTTCCTGAAAAAACAAGAACATATGCTTTCATAACCACAATATAACCAACAAAACCAGGAAATTAACATGCATACAATATTACCACCTAATGAACTGACCTCGATCAAATTTCCTAATAATGTTCTTTATAGAAAACACAAACAAACAACAACAGCAACAAAAAGGCATTAGCCCAGGAGCACGTTGTATTTCTTTTCTTTTCTTTTCTTTTCTTCTTTTTTTTTTTTTTTTTTGGAATTTTAATCTCCTCTACTTGGTAACTAGTCCAGTCTCTTATTTTCTTTCATTTTTCTTTCTTGATCTTGACATTTTGAAGATTACAAGCCAGTTGTTTGTGTAGAATATCCCTCCTATGTGATGTTTTTCTAATATTTCTTCATGATTTCATCGAGGTTATACATTTTTGGCAGAAATAACTCAAAAGTGATACTGTGCTCACCTCAGTGTATCCAATCAGAAGCCACATGGTGTCCGTTTGTCTCTTACTGGTGATATTAAGTCAGGTTACTTGGTTGAGATGGTGTCTGCCAGGTTTCTAAAGTTACTATTTTTTTTCTCCTCATTATTCATAAATACATTGCGAGGATATACTTGCAGGTTATATAGCTATTTGATTTCCTACCTATTGGTTCTGGCATCCATTGATGATTCCTGCATGAATCAATTATTACTACGAAGTTTGTTAAACAGTGATTTTCTAACTCCACATTTCTTCTTCATTTATTACTTGGCATTGGAAAGGCTTTTCTTTCTTTGCTTTTTATTTATCGAGTAATGTTTGGTAATAGCCACTACCCTGAGCCCTCTAAATTTGCCTTTTCTCTGAGAACCCTACGTCTGCTCATAATCCAGCAGCTAGAATTCTAACTACAGGAACTCGGGGGGCTTCCAGGACTCTTCTACACTGACACCCTCTTGGACTGGTCAGTGCCTGTGCCGTGGCTTAACTGTGTGAAGCCATAATGTGAGTCCTGTCCATCCAGGAAATAGACTAGTCAAGAACACTTCAGCTTCTAGTTCAGTGGTCCTCAATCTTGAATGCATATTGGAAACACCCGGAAAATTTAATANGCTTCTAGTTCAGTGGTCCTCAATCTTGAATGCATATTGGAAACACCCGGAAAATTTAATAACCTACTAATGCCTAGGTGCTCTCCCATCACCCGGTGACTCCAATATGCAGTCAAGATTGATAGCCCCTGGGTTAGTGGAATTGGGAGCTTTCCTGCTCAGTCTCAGTTGACTAAGAAGTAGCAGAGATTTGGACACTGATGAGAACTCTAGCAAACAGGGACAAGAGACTGAGTTATCAGTTTCATGAAGAAGAGAGAGAGGAAGGAGGAGGGGGAGAAAGAGAAGAGAGAGGGAGAGAGAAATGAGGCAAAATGTAAACAATGGATAGATCTAGGTGAATATCTAGGGAAAGGGTATATGAGAATTCTTGCAACTTCCTAAATAAATCTGAAGTTGTATCAGAATATTCTTATTTCACAGGAAAGACCAGAGTCACTGCAAACATTATCCTGTGGTTCTTCTTGTCTTCATAGAACTACAGAAAAAGTAATAAGAGGGAATACATCTGTTATTTACCCTCCACATTTAATATGGAGTTTTGAGTACAGAAGGTGGCGTGGAGAAGGAGTTACAGTCTCAGAGTCACTCCGAGCTGACCTGAGGGGTGAAGGATGACAGGTCCAGTGACAGGATGTTCTTGGAAGAGTTGGGGTTGTCCGTTTCCACCTCACCTCTGAGCACCTTGCTCTTGTGGTGTACCATTGGGCAGTCAGGAAACTAACTACAGGCACAGAGCATATGAATTGGAAAGGGTCTTGAGATCAGCTAATTCAGGCTCCCAACATCTGTGGGAATGTTTTAGAACATTTTCCCAGCAATATTCATCTGAGCCCTCTGTCCAATATATGCATAATATAAATGCCTCCCTTTTAACTACTGAAACATGTCATTCTCTATAAGCTGATATAAATAAAGCTCTTTTCTAGAGGTAGTCAGGAGAGGAAGTGATTAGGTGGCACTGGGAAAGGCTCTGAAGGGAACAGTGTGAGCCCAGGAGGAAACGGCTGCTGAGGGGCTTTCAAACGCTGCACAAGGGCAGAGGGGTGCTTGTCTCATCTCCTGTTTATTGCAGTAGTGCTTGTTCTTGACCTAATGTCGAGCACACAGATGGTGCTCAGCAAATATTTGCTTGATGAGATGGAGAGAAAAATAAAAGAAAGAAGGCTAAATAAGAACATGAAATTGAAGGGGAAGATGAGAGCAGTAGCACTGGGAAGCACTTCGGGCTCCAATCTGGGTGAAGAGCCATTGGAAGTTTCTGGCTGCAGAAACTGGAGGTGGCTGCCTGCTGGCTTGAACCTTTTTGCCTAAAAGATTGAGAGTGAAAGAATTTGCCCGGGAAGATTTGAAGTAATATAGTTTGGAATAGAAATTTCAGACCTACTCATTAATCAGACAAATCAAAAGGGAGAAGTGGTCTGTTCTGGTTGTTTTAATCTCTATCTAGATCTCATTTTTATCTGTGTGTTTCCTCATGCTGTAGAAGGTACTTTGTTTACCTCAAATAATTTGCAGACACATTAGGATTATTATCTAAAAGGAAAATCTCCATTTCCCTTCAATGTAAGGACAGAGAAGACCATCAGTGAACACAGAAACCTTGGGATTCAGGTGAGCCTCGTTTTTTCAAAATTATACACTTTGAAACACCTCTTTGATTTAAGGTCAGGAAGCTCCTCTGCTCACACATAATGATCCCAGAAGCGACTCCAGTCATTGAGAAGGTCCAGCACCGAGACTGCAGGAGCTGAGTGTGAACTCTCAGAATTTTGCTGAATCTCAGAATGGAGCATACAGAATTCTCCGGGGGGAATGACAGTAAAGGTAATAGGCTCATTACCTCCCACATCCCCTATGCACCTCACCAGTCCCTGCGGAGGGACTCACATTGCTCTGCCAGGAAGCAGGACTATGATGTTAGATGAAGCTTGGCACCTCGAACAGTAACACGGAATTTGCTGAGACCATAGCTAGGTCTCCAGGGCATTACGATTCCTCTAACCACCTTGGGACATCCAGAGTAGGGCTCCCTTCTAGAGGACATGAACTATGGGCAAGGCCATTCACCATAGCTAGGTCTCCAGGGCATTACGATTCCTCTAACCACCTTGGGACATCCAGAGTAGGGGTCCCTTCTAGAGGACATGAACTATGGGCAAGGCCATTCGTAGACCAGTATCGTGATTTTAAATCTCAAAGGAGAGGGTGGTGCTGAGCTTTTCAAACTTAGAATAAATATAGAAGTGCCCTCAAGAGTTTCCAGAGCAGCTACCACCGCTGACCTTTCCTGAAAACTGTGGTTGCCAACTGCAGCCTGACTTGACACACCATTGGCACCTAGTCACTGCTTGATCCCTGTGAATCTCCTTGACATGCACTGGGCTCCAGGGCTGAGACTGCCTCTTTTTACCTTGCACTTGACCTGTTTGCAGAGCTTGATTCAGCCTGCCTGCCCAGTTAGGTTTTTGACACCTGGTGGCCTAAGTGTTGACAATGTGACACTCGGTGGGGTAAACAAAGAGCATCTGCCAGTAGAGACACAGGTGAGGAGGCAAGGGCTGTAGATTAAACCCTGCATTTGGGCAACCAGGTCCTCACATGCCCTCTGGATGCCTTATACTGTGCAGTCCAAGAGACTGGCTAGACACCTCTCCTGGATCAAAGGCTCTGAGGAAAGGGATGGCAACAGGAAGCAAGTCAAGTTCTATTTAATGTGATGTCTTGAGCTTTGTCCCTTACAAACGAGCCTCTCCCTTTACCACAAATCACCCTTTGCTCCCCACCGCTCGTGTGGCTTGCTGCCTCTGCCCCACGGAGAGGGCTGGGCAAAAATGTCAGAAGAAAAGAGAAACAGAGCCCCCTCCAGGGCCAGGTATGGGCTGAGGAGGGTTTACTGGGCCCTTTCTCTGCTTTCAAGCCCCTCCTCCCCGCTGCATCCTCTTAGGGGAGCCGGGGCACCAGACTTCTCAGAGAGGGATCCGCTGCCTCACACCCAGCCTTGGAGCCAGACTTTGTCAGCAAGTATGTGGTCCTACCAGTGGTTCTAAAGCTTTAAAAGATGACTTGCATAGCTCGCCAAAGGAAGAGTCTTTATGGAATATGTGCAATCCCCGGGACTGCAGAGTCGTGGCCTGAGGCATGCGAAGGGGCACAGACGGGAGGGGGGGCTTTTGGGGGTCAACGCAGGGAGGAGTTTCTGTCC